CCCAGCCTCCTCCCTGCCCCACCCAACCTCCTCCCTGCCCCACCCAGCCTCCTCCCTGGCCCACCCAGCCTCCTCCCTGCCCCTCCCAGCCACACCCCCTCTTTGATTCAGCTGGGCAGGGAGACCCAGACATCCACCCTCTTGTCCCCTCCTGAGCTTGCCCAGGGTTCCTGAGCCTCAGCGTTCTCTGCCCTGCCCCTTCCCCAGGGAGACATGGTGAGGGGCTGAGCAGGTCTCGGGCCGCTCCCTTGCACTCAGAGCGGACCCTGTGGCTCCGAAGTGAAGCCCTGAACGATCTGGGAGTCTCTGTCTGGCCCAGGCCCCCAGGTGGATACCATGCCTCTTTGGAGACCCCAACCCTCGTTCCTTGAGGTCGAAAGGCACCAAACCCCTCCTCCCTTTCTGAGCGTTGCAGGCACGGTGCAGATGGGGACTTCTCAGAGAACCCAGACCCCTTGCAACAGAAACATCTGAAGACCGTGTTGAAAAACCAGACCTCATTCCTTCAGACTGGAATCTCCAGGGCTGAGCTTGGGAACTTTGCAGCTCCCCTCACCCATCCCCACTTCCCAGGTGGCTTATGTACCACGAAGGCTGACATCAGAGTTGTGGAACGCACATCAAGCTTGAATGACACCTGGGCTCAAATGCCAGGTCTGCAGTTTAACTCGCTGTATGACTTTGGGGTCTTCTGTTAATCTCTGATCCTCAGCAGTTAGGTGAGGGTTAGTTAAGACAAGCCCGTAAGGCCTCTGGCACAGAACGCAGAGACCACAACTACCTGAGCACCTAGGGAAGGGCCGAGAGCTCGGTTGGTCCTTAACAAAAACCCACTGAACGACCAAGCTGGGACCCCGGCGCCCGACTCACCGCTGCCCGGCGGCCGTTCCGAGGAGCCGGGTGGGAGGGCTGCGGGGCCACAGGCGGCCCAGACGCAGGGACAGCAGGGGCAACACGCACGGCATCATGGCAGGCCGGCAGCTGGGGAAAGGAGGCCACAGAGAGGAGTGCATGGAGACCGGGATGACGCGGGACTTCAAGCACTCCGGGAAGGGGCCTGCCCCGTTTTCTTGCGAAGGCAAACTGAAGTCCAGAGGTGGATGGAGTCTCCTTGCTCAGGACCCGAACACAGCGTCCTTCACCTACCCCCGCCTCTGATCCAGGAGTCCGGGGACCTGCCCCTCACTAGGTTCGATGCCTGAACCACCAACCTGCAGGCCGAGACCCCATCCCCACCCAGGGAGGTGGGCACGGGAGGAGCCCCAACCAAGCCCCGCCCCCGCCGCACTCACAAACTCCGCGGCCGCCGCCATTTCCCGAGCCCATTCAGGCCCCGCCCTGAATTATCACTGGCTTAGACACCAAAGCCACGCCCATAAGGCCGGAAGGGGCGGGCCGCTGCGAAGTCCCGCCCCCTGCCTTCGGACACCTATTGATTGGCCTTTGAGGCCCCGGGCCCGCGGACCTGCAGCCAGAAGCGGACCCTGCTTCCCCTCGCTGCCGCTGTCCCGGCCTGATCCTCACTCAGTGAGCCCTTCCAGCGGGCTGCCATCGCTCTGTTCCGCGGACATGGCTGTTAACTCCGCTCTGCGGAGGCTGACAAGGACACCGCCCTCAGCCTATTTGCAGATGGGGACACAGACTGGCTGTTCTGTGTTTTGATTCTCTTTCCAGTCACTTGTCTTGTCTCCCTTACCCACCCAGGGCTCTGCCAGAGTCCCCTGTCTATCTCCCGGAAACAGCAGGCACCAATGGAATTCAAGAATAAGGTCCTTTATTGTCTTCAGAGCTGTGGTGAGAGGGCTGGGGGCCTAGGGACACTGCCTCGGACCTGGCTGTAGAGGAGGACGGCGCCTTTGGCGGAGGGACAGAGCTCCGCCCAGATCTCGGCCTCCTGCAGCCTCTCGATGCTCTGTGAAGAGACCCAGACACCCAGCCCTCATGTCCCCCTCCTGAGCTTGCCCAGGGTTCCTCAGCCTCAGAGCTCTCTGAACTGTGCCCTCCCCAGAGAGACGTGGTGGGTTGAACAGGTCCCTGGCCCTCTCCCTTAGGCTGAGGGCATCCCCCGGTGAGGCCCGGCGCCTCGGGGGTGAGTTCTTGAGACATCTGGGAGTCCCTGTCTGGTCCAGCCCCCCAGGCGGACACCAGGTCTCTCTGCAGGTCCCAACTCCACCCCTGGTCCAGGCAAAGTGCAGGTTGCCAACTCGCACCTGGGTCTCTACAAAAATGATTCCTGTGGACTCGTGAGCCTCGGGTCCCCCATTCAGGTAGTGTTTCCTCACCTGCTCAGAAGTCAGGCTACACCTGAAAACAGAAGGAGGGCTCGGTGGATCCCCAGCCCCTGGAGAGTCCCTGGAGAGCCCCAGCTGCCCACCTCCCCCAGGCTCCTGCCCCGAGCCCACTCACTGCACATAGAACTCAGCACTCGCACGGCCGGCGCTGGTCTCGTTGCAGGCGAAGCCCAGCAGCAGGGGCTGGCTCAGGGTGAGCAGCGGCAGGTTTACCTGGGGCCAGGGGTCCCACCTGTCAGTGCCCACCTCTCTGGGTGGAGCAGAGTCCCTCACCCCTATACAACATTTTAGAGTTTGTAGATCAAGTGTCCACAATCACAGAACGTCAGTGTTGAGCCTGCTGGTTTTACAGATGGGAGAATAGAGCCCAAAGATATCGAACAGTTTGCCCTGGTCCACCCAAGGGGATAACTGGGATTCTGATTTCTTCCTCTTTCAACAAACCTGTGGGACAGGCAAGACGTTTGTCATCGTTCCCACTGTAGAGAGGAAGAACTAAAGCACAGAGAAGTGACAGCTGGTGTTCCAGGCCCAGTGTGCCCGGCTGCAAAGCTACGCTCCTTTCAGTGTCAGCCCAGACCTGTGGAACCCTGGCGTCTTCCACCCTGCCCCATTCATGCCCGCCACCCTACTCACCTCATCACAGATCTCTTGCAGGACACTGGAGAAGAGTTCACGCACAACCAGATCCTCAGGGAGATCCTCATGTCGGGGGCTGTTACCAGGGCACAGGGCCTGTGAGAGGTCAAGCTCAGATCCCACTGCTCACCTCTTCCCAGCCTGTCCTCCCTCCCACTAGTACTCGCTGGCCGGAGGCCTAGTGAGGACATGGTGGAAATACTGGTGATCCCTTGACCCTGACCTTCCTTTTCTAGATAATCAGAAGGCCAGCTAGGGGGACCACATAGAGCACTGGGGTGAAGTGGGGTGGCTCCTTCTTTGCCCCACTCCCCCATCCCCCAGCATCCCAAAGGTCTAGGGTAGGGGCCAGTGGGGAGGCTGATGGGTTATTCTGACCAAGGCCTGTCCCAGACACACCATCAGTCCTCCCTCCTCGACCCATACACAAATTATCCAGGGACAGCCTCCCTACACCCACCCAAGACAGGCTTTCTGGCCCCATTCAGAAGATGAGGTAGAGGGTTCAGGACTCCCCAGAGCCGCCTGGGTCTTTGTGTCCAGCCTAGCATCTCACCTGAGGCTCAGGGTGCCCACCAGGCACATCCACCAGCCCAGGGGCCTCAGCCACCTGCTGAGAACGTCGCAGGAAGACAAAATAGTCATCAGCAGTGGTCAGTGCAGCGCCCACACCCAGCGGGTCCGCCAGGTAGGCCTGCCTGTCACCCCAGTCGGCAGCCCCCTTCTGTCGCAGCCAGGCAGCTGAGCTGGCCCAGTTGGTGCCCAGGAAGTCTCGGTAGGAAGTGAGGCCCAGCTGCAGGAGGAGCCGTGGCCCTGGAGAGCCAGTGGGCGCCAGGGTGGCCGAGTGCAGGCGGAACTTGGGGGCATCAAAGAGCCAAGGCTGGGCCTGTAGCCGGTTTTCCCAGACGGTCTGGATGGCTTTGTCCCCGCCTGGCAGTGGGCGGCGGTCGTAGGCTGGCCTCAGCTCCGCCCGCACCTGCTCCTCAGGCAGCCCACCCCAGGGGCACTGCAGCAGTAGGGACACCTCCGGGTCCATAGCTTGCACAGGGCAGCTCTGGGGAAGGACACAGCAGGGACTATCAGTGCCAGGGCTCCAGAGCCACCCGTTAGCCTGGCAGCCGGCCTACTCTGTCACAGACTTTCTAGGGGCACCCCTAGCCCGTCTGCACCCTCCTGACCGCTCCCTGGGCAGTGAAGTATCCTATCATCCCTGGCAGAGCCCGGAACCCTGCTGAGACACAGCACTCTTGCTGCCAGGCATCCCTGGAACTCCTGGGCATCCCTGCCACCCAGGGGTCCTGGGTCAAGTATCCCCCCAAAAGCTCTGTCCCCAAAACCTAGGAGTCCTGCCTCCACCCCTGCAGCGCCGACACCCCCCTCTCAGGTCCGGAAGCTCCCGCCTCCAGCCTGCACGCCAGACCTCCTCGGCCCGCAAGCTCCGCCCCTTCCTGGAACGGAAGTGCCCGCCTCCTGCCTCTGCGGCCTCTCATTGGCCGATCCGGGCACTAGGGGCCAGTGGAGCAGCCACCTAGTGGGCGGGAGTGGTGAGTCTGTCCGTGGTCGCTGTAGTTTTCCCCTGTCTGTTAAGATGTCTGTCTATGCAGGCCCTGACGCTTCCGCTTTGCTAGCCGGGACACCGGCGGCGGGCTGCCCCACTCCAAAAAACTGATCTTGCGGGGACGAACCTGGAGCGCGATGGTTTGGCCTCCTCGGCTAGCAATCAATGTGACCTTGGGCAAGCCTTGCCTGTCTGGCCTCAGTTTCCCTATCTGCACTATGGGGCTGGGGTGGGGAAATGCAGTTAATGAGCCCCATGTCCCCTCCCAGCTCTTACATGCGGAGGCTTTGTGACTTTCTGGGCAGGCTGAGGACATGGGAGCATCCTTAAAGCAGCTCCCACTGGGCACTGTCCTCGCAGGTCTTGGCCATGAATCCCTCTGGAGGAAGGAGGCGGCAAGCAGCAGGGCCCAGGGCTGGCAGGGCTCACAGACCACGAGAGCAGGTGCGGGCCTCCCACACCTCCACCCTCATGGTGGGAGAGCAGGGGAAAGGGACTCTGAGCACTCACTCGGGCAATGTTGCCAGGGTGGGGGGTGGGGCATGCAAGTTATTCTGTTCCCAGGAACCCAACTCCCTCTGCAGCAGGTCACTGAGGGTTCAGGGCAGACAGCAGGGCAGGGTCACCTCGCAGACCAGGGACAACGTCTGGCCTTTTTCAGGACCGTGATGTGCATCTGTCCAAGGCTTTGTCCTACGCCCTGCGCCATGGGGCCCTGAAGCTGGGGCTTCCCCTGGGGGCAGGTAAGTGAGAGTCCTGGAGGCTCTGTGAGGATGAGTGGCTCAAGGCCAGAGCTCTGAGCCTATCTGGGACTGTCCTCTCGGTGGCTCCCACCACTGCCCTATGAGAAGGGCATGGCAGGGCACAGACTCCCGAGGTACCGAGAAGACTGAGGCCCAGAGGTGCGGGATACCCAGAGTTCCATATTATGTCAGGCACATTGGAAGAGGAGCCCCTGTCTGGGCTCAGCTGGTGATGCTCCCTCCAGCCAAGTGACCCATAAACACATGCCAGGGCTGGGTGTGGGAGGGGTGTAATGGGGTGAGTGACATCTGAGTGTCCACTCTGGACTGGTCTTTGTAGTCCAACACAAGGCAGATAAGGAGTTCTGGTGGGACAGTGCCTAAGGCATCTGACTGCTAACCAGAAAACTGGCGGTTCAAACCCACCAGCCACTCCGTGGAAGGAAGACTGGGCAATCTACTTCTGTAGAGATTTACTGCCTCACACCATGAGATCCTCAGCCTATATGACTATGAACTAGATGGTGCCCGGCTACCACGTCAACCACTCAGAGGGGATCTATGTAGGAATTCTTGGATAAAGTGGGAGAACAGTGTGGAACAAAACCCAAAATCATTTGGGGAAAAAAAAAGGGACCAGGTTTGTTGGTCTGATAGAGCCTAATGGAACCCCTGAGACTATGGCCCATGGCTGCCCTTCAGGTCTGGAATTGAACCCACACCTGTGGCTTCCAGCCAAACAAGAGACAGGCATATGAGCTGAACATTTACACTAGGTAGATAACACTCCTTCGAGAGAACAATCACAGGAGAATAGAAGGGCCGTGTATGCACAAGGACATAGCTCAGGGGGCAGAAGCACATGGGAGAGAAGGACACAGGGAAGAGGTAACTATGAGAAGGAAGTGGGAGGGGAGCTGTTGCATTGTGGTAAATTGTAGTCAATGTCATGAGACAAACTGTATGTGAACTGCTGTATGGAAATTGAATTTGCTCTGTAAACTTTCACCCAAATCACAAAAAAAAAAAAGATTTACTGATTCAGAAACCCAATGGGGATCGGTATGAGTTGGAATCCACTCGATGGCAGTGGGTTTGGTTTTTGGTTTTGATGAGGCAGATGGGATCCCCATGTAAATTCAGGTGGGAGGTCTGGTGGCATAGCGCCTAAGGCACTTGACTGCTAACCAGAAGGCTGGCAGTTCAAACCCACCAGACACTCCTTGGAAGGAAGGTTTGGGCAACCTACTTCCATAGTGATACTGCCTCGGAAACCCAAGGAGGGGTCGCTATGAGTTGGATCTGACTCAACAGCAGTAAGGCCTAGGGAGGGGACTTTCTCAAGCCACAGTGCTAGGGACAGATGCAGCCCTTGTGAACAGAGCCAGGCTGTGCTCTCCCTGTCACCTGGGCCCTGGCGGAGCAAGTCCAGCGCCTGAACGCCCCACCCGCCCGCAGATGGCTTCGTACCCCTGCACACCCTGCTGCAGCTGCCACAGTTCCGTGGATTCTCAGCTGAAGACGTTCAGCGCGTGGTGGACACCAATGCGAAGCAGCGGTTCACCCTGCGGCCAGGGGAGCCCAGCACGGGCCCGCTCATCCGGGCCAATCAGGGCCATTCCCTGCAGGTGGGGGCTCTGAGGCCAGGTGGGAGAGCCAGGCGAGGCCTCTGTCCTTGAGGGGGCCTCACCACTGCCCGTTCACCCACCCATCCCAGGTCCCTGAGTTGGAGCTGATGCCTCTGGAGATGCCGCAGGTCCTGCCCCCCACGCTGGTCCATGGCACATTCTGGCAGCACTGGCCATCCATCCTGCGCAAGGGCCTGTCCCGCCAAGGACGGACACACATCCACCTTGCCCCGGGTCTGCCTGGTGACTCTGACGTCATCAGTGGTCAGTGCCTGCCCCAGCTGCTCCAACCCACTCCGTCCACCCAGGGCCCCCTCTAAAAGCTGCAGCGTCCCCGGTGTGAGGCTGCCCCATGTCCCACCCCCTGCCCTGCACGGAGCCAGGGACACCAGCCTGCCCAGGTTTGCTAGCTGCAGCCCCAGGCTCCACCTCTGGCTGTCTCTGCAGGCATGCGGCCCAACTGCGAAGTGGCTGTGTTCATCAACGGACCCCTGGCCTTGGGAGGTGAGCCTGGACGCAGCAGGGACTGCCTCAGGCCTTAAGGGAGGGTGGGAGTCACACCCATGGCTCTCATGGAAGATGGAATTCCTTTTATCCAGACGGAATTCCCTTCTTCCGCTCTGCCAATGGGGTGATTCTGACTCCAGGGAATGCTGATGGTGTCCTGCTTCCCAAGTACTTCAGGGAGGCCCTGCAGCTCCGCCCTACCCGTGAGAGCTACCCTACCCTCTGTTTCTTGTGCCTGGTGCCTGTGCCCATCCCTCGCTTCTTCTCCAGCCCCCAACTCCAACCCCCAATTAGGTCTCCCTCTAACCAGCTCTCACCCCTCTCTCTCAGGAAAGCATCTGTCCTTGTCTGGTGATGAAGAGACTGACTGTCAGAGTGGCCCCAAGCACAGCCCCAGAGGAAGAAGGATGGTCCAGCAATAAAATACTTATTTATAAAAAAGAAATTAAAAAGAATAACCAAAACAACACTCCAGTTTGAAACAATAGGTCATTGTCCCGTAGCGACATTTGGCCTTTGTCATGTGTTCAGGGGCTGCAGCTAGGTCAGGGGAACTGGTCTTGGCCATTCCTGAAAGGAAAGAGGGGTGCTCTCTCCATCCTAACCTGGGTGGTCAGGCCCCTGGTCTGAACAAAGCCAGGGTGACGCCGGTGAGAGTGCACAGCTTGGTGCACGCCTGGAGAGGGTGCAGGCAGTGCGTCCCAGTGGGTGTGGCAGGTGTGAGTGAGGTGCGGCAGTGAGACTACCTAGAAGGCCTCGTGGCCCCCTGTGAGCTGCAGAAATAGGTCCTCATCCAGCTCCTCCCCGCGGGCCCGCTCCCGCGTCGACAGGAAGATATAGCCCCCGATGTATTCGTGCACGATGCGGCAGCTGGCGGACACGCAGCTGAAGGCCACGTTGATGTGTTCGTCAAACTCGATCGCCACCTGGGAGCGGGCGTCAAAAGAGCTAGGATGGGAGGGGTGGTCTCTGCCGGGGTGAGGTCCGCCCCGGCTCCGCCCCCGCCCGGCTCCGCCCCCGCCCCGGCTCCGCCCCCGCCTGCGCGCACCTGCCGGATGTCCCAGTTGACGTTCCACTGGCGCATGTTGCTGAAACGCCAGGTCTTGACCACGTCGCCCACGGCCAGGTCGATGCGGATCAGCCGGTTGTTGGCAATGCCCAGGATCTCATCTTTCCTGCTGCCCTTGAACCTGTTCGGGGTGTGTGTGTGTGTGTGTGTGTGTGTGTGAGACAAGAGTGAGCAAGAGCCCCACCGTGCGTGACTATGAGCCCCGCGTCGTGGAACAGCACGCATGCGCACGAGCACAGTGGAGGCAGGCTGAGCTGCGGTCATTGCCCCATTTTGCTGCCCACCAGCCCTGCCACACTGGGCAAGTCATCTAGGCTGTCTGGGCCTCAAGCTTCTTATAGGGAAAACGGGGGGATGTGAGGTAATTGTCCTCACAGGGTTTAGCAACATCAGGCATCCCAGTAAGTAAGCACTGTTGGGGTGTTTGGTGTTTTGTGTCATCCTCCTTTTTGTCTCTTGCCTGGCCCATCTTAATAGGAGCAGGAGTAACCAAAAGGGGCCCCTGCCTGTTCTCCAGACAAATTAACCAAGGCCCAGAGGGGACAGTCCCTGGCGGAGCTGGGACGGGAGCCACATCTGCTTTCCAGGCCTGAGCTCTGTCTTTTGGGTTTGTTGGAGGGTGTGTGGGAGGGGCTCTGGGGGAGGGCATGCAGGGTGCCCCCAGGAAGGTCTGTCCACAGGGGCGGGGAGGTTCTGGGGAAGGGACGGTGCCCACCTAAGACCCACTCCTGGCACAGGGCAGGGCAGAGCTGTGTTTGGCAGGGTGGGGCTGGATGGGGCCCGTTGTACCTGACCACGACGTAGGAGATGCCAAAGTCAGGCAGGGACTGCCAGGCCTGGATGAAACGTAGCTGGGCCTCGGACAGCGACAGCTGGGCCACGTTCTGGTGGGCTTCCAGGATCCGTGGGGTGAGCTGTGGGACCACCCTGGTGAGGGGCCGCCTGGTCTCCTCCCATCTCCCAAAGCCCATGAGACCCCTTGTCTGCCCTGGGCATGACACAGGATTCTGAACTAGGGAAGGAGCAGGGCTCACCATGAGACCACCAGAGTGCCCTTCTCGCCACTCAGTAGATGGGAGCTGAGCCAGGCCCTGGGGTGGGTGTGGGCACCTGGACTCTGACCCCTCCCAGAGGGTGGGACTTGGCCTCGGGGGCATGTGAATGAGTGAGTAGGTAAGAGAGTGTGAGGCCACCATGTCTGCCCTGAACCATAGTCCAGGGCAGGTGGGAGGAGGAGTGAGTGAGCTATGCCTGTAGACGCCCCGGCAGTAAACGCTGCAAACATTCCCACCTGCTTGGCCTTGAACTTGCGCTGGAAACGGGGGGCAACGAGGCCGTAGGGGTTGAGGCCCTCGTTGGAGGCATCGGGCCCCTGGGAGTGGTTGCCCGAGCCCCCGCCACCCGCCCGCTGCAGGTTAAGGAAGGCCAGGATGGCCTGCACCTCGCTGCTATAGCTACTGTCCGCCATGGTGCGGCCCTTGGAGGCCAGTCGGCAGCCAGCCATCCACCGTGCATACTGCTGCTCCTGGGGGAGGGGGGTAAGGTTAGGGGCTGGCAGGCTCTGTGCGGACTTCTGCCCCTGTCCCTGCTCATCTCTGGCCCTGAACCCTCACCTTTCCTGGCCCCTGTCCTGGCCCCACACCCCAGCATCCTGGTCCAGCCCATGCCTGGCCCCAGCCCTCACCCTTGACCAGCCCCTGTCCTGGTCCAGCCCCAGGCCAGCCTCACTCACATCTTGGCACCGCAGGTAGATTTCACTCATGCCCTCAGGTGATGGCACCAAGAGTTTGATGCAGAACTTCTGGCCTGAGACATTAACGTCAGGGACCACCTCACAGCCTGGAGGGAGAGAAGGAGTGGGTGGGGAGGCCAGGGACGGGTGCCACCTGAAAGGTCCTCGTGCGAATGCCAGTTCTGGGCAGCCATCGCAGGAGACAGGGCGTTGTCGCTGGGCCCAGGAATAAACTCCAGCCCTCGGGAGCCAGGCGGGACCCCAGCTCTCCCATCCTCACCCAGTCCTGGCCACCTGTGCTCACTCACCCTTGAGATTAAGCTGCTGAATGGGATCTCCAGGGGCCTCGTCCTGGCTCTTGTAGTAGGACAGGGTGGTCTCCTTAAACACCACCCAGTGCTGGCGGTACCCCTTCAGGGTCAGCTTCCGGGGCCTAGGGATGCAGGGGACGGTTTGTGAAATACTACCTCCTTCCCTCCCCCCCCCGACACGCCTCTGGGAAGGGCTACCCGCTTTGGCTCAAACTCACCGGAAAATTCGGAGATGGTCTTTGAGCTCCGGAATGGTGGTGAGGCTGTCCTGTGGGAGGAAGGGCGTCAGAGGGAGACCTGGGTGGCCTGTGCCGGACACGCTCACCCCCGCTCTGACCTGAGCCCCTCCTCACCAGCACATCAGTGGGCGCCGACCCTTCCAGCTTCACCTCCAGGTTGCTCAGAGCTGCATCGAGGTCGTCCAGGCCTGGATCTGGGCCCGTCGGCTCACCCACCTCCCCACTCTGCGACAGCTTGTTGATATGGTACTGGGTGGGACATGGAGCCAGAGAGGGCTGAGCTGGCAGCCCATCTGCCCAACAGGGGCTCTTAGGCTGGGCTGTCCCAGAGACGGGGCCCACTCTGGCCTGCCAGACCGCCTGCCCACAACCACCCTGGCGCAGGACCACCGGGCACCTGCAGGGCTGCGAACACCATCATCTCCTCCTCGGTGCAGTCTGTTTCTTCCAGCAGTAGATCCCACCGAGCCTGCTCGTACAGCTGTGTCAGCCGCACAGGGTCCGTCTGCGGTGTGGAACGGGAGGCCAGCTGGGTCAGATGCCAACTGCCCAGAGTATCCAGCCCTGCTGGCCTTGACCTTCAGCCTTGTCCTCCTAGTGGCAAGTTCAGTCGGCATCCTCACGTGGGAGCAGCCTGTAAGTCCTCTACTGCCCAGGAAAATGGCATCTTCCTGCCTCTCAACTTTTGCTTGGTTGTTTAATTAACAAATGTTTCGTGTGTGCCTACTGTGCGCCCAGCATGCTGCTGAGGGCACAAGGGAGACCAAGTAAACCAATGGGTCAATAAGTAAAGTGATTCAACAGTGTGATGGGTTATGGGATGACGTCACCATGAAATTAGTCAACACATAGAAACGAAGGATTCTTAGCGGTGACCAGGGGTGGGAGGGAGAGGAAAGGGGGAGTCTTTGCTTAGGGGCCATGGAGTTCATGTTCATGGTGGTGGGATGATTTGGAAAAGGAAAGCGAGAGTGGTGCACCTTAAAGAATGTAATCAATGTCCCTGAATTCTCCATGCACAGATTACTGAGATCGTGGTATGTTTTGTTATGTACATTTTCACCACACACAAAAAAAGCAAGTGGAAAGAGTGTCACAGACGTTATAAGAGAACTAGCTTCCATAGTGACAGGTTTCTCAAGCCCTTGGTCAAGGCCACTGCAAATTTGATGGTGATGAGAGAGTGGAATGAGGTGTGGAAGGCTAGTCTCCAGGGGAAGCAGTCAGGAGGGCTTTGTGGAAGAAGTGATGTATTGGCACAAAGGAAGACATTGGGCCCCTAGTGGGGAAAGTGATAGGAAAAGCATTCCAGAGAGAAGGGACAGGGAGTGTGAAGGCCCAAAGAGGACCCCGTTACCCACAGATCAACCCCATGCTCCCTCTGAAACCCAACCAAAATGGGCTGTAAATGCATCAAAAAGGTGAACCCAAAAGGACAAAGAAGAGAGAGGGGACAATAGTAGATGACAGATGTCAACACATTTTGGAGGATGGAAAGCAAAA